TTTATTGAGACCAACGTTCGATTTCAATGCACGGGAGCGGAGTAGTTGAACGTAAGTAACTACCACCAGCAATTAAGTGGGAATCAGAAGCAGTGACCGAAGAATCGAATGTTGGATATTCGGTTGGCTGTCGGTCGATTGCCTGCTTGTCTCCAGACGTAACATATTAGCAGAGCGACACGGTTTAAAATGCACCACGGCCGTGCAGACACAATCTCAATATTACGTTCGCCTCCTCCGCGACAACTACGATGCTTCAATTTATCAAAGGAGTTACGGTGCACCAGCAGAAGTTACAGCTCGACGACCACAGGACGTAAAACGCACACAGGCCACCGACCATTCGCGTTTGTTCACCACCAATTGCAATCAGAATGCACTTGCGCTTGAACATTTCAATTATCTACTCATTTCCAGTATAAACTCTCGACTTTTTGCTCTTGCAATTGCGACCAACGATGAAATTATTATCTTGATTGAACGTTCTCTCAAGACACACTAATCGCCATTATAAATTTTGATTCAAACGGCAAAATAACGAAGTATTGCAATGGAAAATCCAAAAACACGTTTTCTCATGAGGTCTATGGATCAGTTGAAAAATTAGTATTCGTTCATGACAGTATACAGGTGATTAGAGAGGAAAGATCCTATAGAGAGCCATCTTCTGTCTCCTTCATTGTATTACGCTGCTAAGCTTAAAATGATTTCAGTGATCAAATACATATTATATAAGATAATCATTCCTTAGTGTAAAAGGCATGGTCAACATTTAGCGATCAACATCATTAAAGACTACAACTGTAGGTATAGATATACAGACGCAAAAGATAAGTATGCTTAAATTTGCAAATGATATAGCAGTATTAGTATATAGCAAGGAGGAGTTAGAGATAGCGTTAAATAAAATGGAAGCGGTATGGACAAAACAGTACTGTATGAAAATAAATAAAAGTAAAACAAAAATTCTGGTATGTATGGGAAGAAAAAGTAGGGAAAAGGCAAATATAAAGATAGGAGACGAAAGATTAGAAGAAGTGACTGATTTTAGGTACCTAGGAAGTCAGGACGGTAGGAGTAGTAGGGATATAAAGCAGAGGATAGCGCACGGTCGAGTCGCCTTCAATAAAAATAAAGAAATCACTTCTATGCTAGCGAACAGTTAATTTAAAAATTCGGAAAATGTTGTTAAAGGTGTGTGTTTGGAGCACGGCTCTGTACGGGTACGAAACATGGACAGTGGGCACGGCGGAAAGGAAAAAGTTAGAAGAGTTCGAAATGTGGTGTTACGGGCGAATGATGAGGATACTGTGGATAGAGAAGGTTAGAAATGAAGAGGTATTACAAAGAGTAGGAGAACAGAGGACTCCATGGAAGTCAATAAGAAATGGGCGAAATAGGTTGATGGGATACCTTCTTAGTCGTGAAAGTCTATCAGAGATATATTAGAGGCAGAAACGGAAATTAGGAGGGATAGAGGTAGACCTAGATTAGATTACTGTTCGTAAGTAGTTAAGGATATGGGATGTTCTAGGCTGACGAACCTTACGATGATGATGAATGATATTAGAAGGTTCATGAGCTATGAGGACGAGACGAATTTTTGCTCGGGGGTGAGTGAAGGTGAAGTTCTGCCCTATTCTTGTTGAATGGAGCAATAAAAGGATATTTATAAATAATTAGCACGATCGACAAGCAAGAAGGAGATAAGGGCAGTTTACGTATACGGCACGTTAATCGGCCTGATAATGCTCATTGTTTACACCTTAATAGCCGCATAACTATCAGAACAATTGCTCAAATATTATGAGGCCCCACAATGCGATCGTTTACAGAAAACAGTTTATAGACACTTGTTCTCTCCGCTGCTTTGCATCGTTTTTAACGCGAACTGGACTTTACGACGCATTCAAATCGGATTTTTTATGAACCTAATGGAGCTACGACGAAGACGAAAAAAATCGAATCTCGAACGCTATCGTAACAATTATTTTACGATTATCGAATAAAACAATATTATCGTTCGGGTTGGTACACCTGTATGAGGCCGAAGCGGAATGATCTCATCGGCTATACTGGATGAGATTCTTTACGTTCCAACTAATCCCTTATACTCTTTAAACGGACGAAATGATAATCAATTTTTATTGATAACAATGAAAAAGAGGCTTCTAAAGGAGTAAACAATTAAATTTTACTTTTTTTGAGAAATTAACTTTTCAACTTTTCTTTTTACTGTTCAAAGCCAGGACGAACTAATAGTTACCATTTATTCTGGCAATTCTACTTGATACATACAATCTGAATTACCAACCGTAACGTAGAATTGTCCTGACAGTCTTCTGTTCACATCTATAAAGTCTCATCTAAATACGTCCAACCGTTTCAAGGATTACCTGTACGGAGAGACAAATAGATGTACAGGCCTGACGCTGGAAGCTGGCGGAAATTTTAAAATGGCGTGGATGCGCGGTGGCAAAAGTATTGANAGAGGCTTCTAAAGGAGTAAACAATTAAATTTTACTTTTTTTGAGAAATTAACTTTTCAACTTTTCTTTTTACTGTTCAAAGCCAGGACGAACTAATAGTTACCATTTATTCTGGCAATTCTACTTGATACATACAATCTGAATTACCAACCGTAACGTAGAATTGTCCTGACAGTCTTCTGTTCACATCTATAAAGTCTCATCTAAATACGTCCAACCGTTTCAAGGATTACCTGTACGGAGAGACAAATAGATGTACAGGCCTGACGCTGGAAGCTGGCGGAAATTTTAAAATGGCGTGGATGCGCGGTGGCAAAAGTAGGCAGTTTTAGGTATAAAGATTGCAGCCCTCATTCTTCAGTATTCCTATCAGGGGCGTAGATCAAATATTTAAAAATAGGGATCAGTGAGCAAGTAATAGACAGACAAATAGAAGAATTAATTGTTGATGTTGGTGACAGTGATAGAGATTCCCATGATGACAGTGAATGTGAAAACTAACTATAAAACAAAAGCAATAGGTTAATTTTTTCTTTTTGATAAGTCATGTTTTTACATTATTTTCTAGTACGCTACTGTCCTATCTGTATTAATACTATAATTTACGCCTACTGAAAGCTTATTTGTGTATCGGTTCCAAGTGACTTACCCAAATAGGTCATAAATGGGCAAGTGCCTGCGCGACCGTTCGCCAGCTTCCTTCGTCAGACCTGTATTTTTCTAGAGGCCGATTTATGCCCTAACAGCCTACAAATAATCATATATCATTGATAAGTTTAAGAAGGCCATGTATATTTATTTGGAGATATATAGATTAAATGTGTGTTAACATTTAATTATTTGAAAGTGATTAATAAGGTTTCATTATAACCTATTTTCCCTTTAATACACTATACTTTTATTATTATTTACTCTCTTTGGGGGCGTACGGTATAAGATATACTTGACCTGGTAAAATCCTGCCCTGTTCTTATTCAGTGTGCTTGACTTTGTGAGCTATTCTGTCTATCACAAAAAGAAGTGCGGTAGATCGAATTATACTCTGTCGTAAAGACGCTCGTCAGTCCTATTTTATTGGTAAATAGCCCACCTTCCGGCACGCTTTCTTTATTCATCCTTTAATACGTTCTAGTATAAAATAACCGTCAATGATGCTCCCACGTCGACTGTCTCAATCCTACTACTTTCATTTCATCGCTTTTCAATTGCCTTTTATTGATCCTGTCCTTTACACAATGGAACCCTTTGTACCTTTTCTCAGTCCATTATTTCCACATAAAATTCATGAATACCAAAATGTTACTAAAAGTGACAATGATTTTTTTCTTTTGTTTCCGATCAGCAAATTACAATTTTTTAAAACAATTGATGTAAACGTAAAATATCGATAAGGTAGTTACAAAGATAAGAAATGGAGTGAAATTAATTTAACGTGTCTAGTACACTTAAATTTATTCGTTCGAGTGGCTGGGAAAACATGATACCAAAATCTTTATTGTAGTGGCTGAAACCCTCACATCAGTCTTACGTTTTCGATTGCGTTGCCTTGACAGCTATCTCCTCTTTTGATGAACGAATGGACATCCTGTGCATTCAGAATTCGGTCTTCGGTTAGAATTCCCAGACACCAACGATATCAAAGGTACAATGGGAAATACCAAATTGCACTGTTTAGACAATTTCCAATTATGATTATGGTTGTTATCATCTGTGACATTTTGAACCAAGAGATAATGATGACAATGACACTCACATTTCTTCATTAATTAAAAAGAAATATCATATTTTCTGACACAATTTTGCAAAAAAAAACACAAAATAGGCAGCGATTGTTTTATTTCAGATAGAAGTCGAAATATGAAAGCTGTTGTATTGAAAATAGCGTCACACTAAATGAGATTGGAACTAAAAATGAAGGAGAATATGTGGTGACTACAGTAAATGCATGAATTTCAAAAAGTGCATTCATCTTCATCAGGGATATTCCCCGAGCGATCTCGTCCATTCTTTTCACAATTTTATCGCATAACAAGAATAATATACCCACTGCCGTTGTTTGTCCTTTTGTGTCTCCACGGAAGAAGAGACCGTAAACTTCCTTTTCGAAGAGGTTCTCCATTTGTCCGAGAGAAACAATAAGAACAATTAATATAGTTTTGAGTAAAAGCAAATGCTATCAGGATCGCTATTCAATCTCAAAGGATGCACGCATATGTAGATAGTATGCATTCAGAATGCTGGTGGATTATTTATTACGGATAGCGTTCTTGGATTTAAAGCTTGATTAATAGTTCTTAACCGTTTATATAGGATAATAATTGAATCCACAACCGTTCCTGTTGATTCTGTCAGAAATCAACTAATATTTTTCATACAAAGCACAAGTGCCGATCAGAATTATTTGTCCATAATACATTGCACCTAACAGTATCTCAATTGCAGATGTAGATATTATAAGATATATACATTTAAAAAAATAAAAGGGAATGATAAAAACAAAAAACCACATACCGCCGGAGCGCGTTGTGAATCTCCTGGCGATGGACTTGGATCTCATGTCTTTCCGATGTCCAGCAGCTTCTGAAACCGTCACCGTTTTGTTTTCGTCGACGGGCGATCTTTCTCCTGTCAGGACCCTCCAGCATTCCTTTTTCTGCCTGCAGAATATCCTCCTAACACCGACGCGTTTCCGATGCAACAACTCAAAAGAAATATTTGCACTTCGTGGAGTCTGACGTGGGGCTGTCGCGACGACCGACGGACGCAAGTATCAAAAAAACGACGCGACGGTGGACGCCACTCGATTTGAATCGGCAAGAAGACAGACCTGACCAATCAGAAACCACTCGCGGCTGCTGTCATCGCTTATGTTCTCATCCTCGCGCGAGCCCGAGCGACTGTGCACCACGATCGCGGATGGAACAAGAAGACGCCTGCCGCGTGCCCAGGATCCAGGCCGATCGCGCCTTCTAAAGAAAGTGACGCCGGAATACGCGCGTCGCAGCGATATTCGAAGGGTTGCGCGCCGCCTACCGCGATGCCACGCCAGCCGCGAGATAAGAGCATCGCGCTCAGGCATCGGTCGATACAAGGGAAGAGAAGAGGATGAGACGCGGGAGGATCGGATGTCTCGTCCTTTTTGTCCTGCGACGACTGCAGGATCGCCGCACCCCCTCATGGTGTCTCTCTGTGGAGAAGAACTGGCATTGGATCTCTCCCCAAAATGGCTCCTGAAGATAATTATGTACCCATTACAAATATCTATTTCAAATTCACGTTTTATGGATACGGATCATTTAATCTTTACAATGAGAACGATAGTAGATATTTTAGATATATCAATGTGTGGTTCTTTTGAGGGAAATAAATGACTATCCCACATACAGGATTTCTAATATACCATGAAATTAGTGTTTCAAATGGGTAACTGTCAGATAAAATGGAATGATAGCAGAAAATGTTGGAAGAAGTGGATACCAATCAAAAATTTACTAAACTTTAAAACATCCCATTATGATTCCCACGTTTTTTAAGAAACTCCTACAACCAAAAAAATGATTTGTTGTAGATCACTCATTTATGGGGATAAACGTGTATTTATTATTTTTTTTTGCGGTGGCAGTATGTAGTGTTCTGTTCTGTTGGTCATCGACTCGGAGCAAGTGAGCAGGTCCCCAAGTCACTATTGACGTTTTTGCGGAAGTCCTTGATAATATTCCATGGCTCGCTGGCATCGTAATATAATATGTAAATCAGGACTAGTCTCTACACGCCACCTGGAATATGATGCACGGAGGTCGGCTTATCAGAAATCTACCCCACTCATGCGCTATATTCTACGCCACGGGAAAAAAAGGAAGTTAGAAGAGAGAAGTCGATAGACAAAATTATGTAGAAATTTCTGGTCAACCAATTTTTAATTATTATCTCTAATGTAGTTTATAATAGTAGGTACCTAATCGTTTCCGTAGTTAAATTCCACTTTCGATGGATTATTCCGTCTTTTGACCATCATCTTGGATAGAGATAGTTATCTGTAAACAATTATTGTACGTATTAGAGCCGTCAAATGTTTTATCCTGATTTTCGCTATATTTCCTTTCAGTCAAGTTTTAACATGCTTAGTCTTTTATCTGCGCATTTGAAGTGATGAATTAGATTGTTGAAGGGAGTAATTTTCCTTGATATTTTTGACATAATGAGCCCTAAGTTAATGATAGATAAGATTATAGTATTACCCTTAATTACAACTAATCCTGCTGGTCTACACGCTCACGTTTTCCTTTTTTGGGTAAATTATTCCAAATAATCCATCATGTTCTCTGAAAGGCTTCGTCCTTATGATAATGAGAAAACAAGATAAAGATTTAGACGTGCTCACAGGTTAAACTTAGGGAATTTCCTATTAATATCATACATAAGGTAATAAACATGTACCTTTACCATCATCATCATCATCACCATAAGGTTGTCAGTCCTATTGTCGATAATAGGTATTAGTTGTTTTAGATATTCCACAAAAATAAGAAAAATCAGATGCCCCCGACGAATATTAGTGGAAGGGCAAAGAAAACAAGAGTTTCGTATTTCTTTTGTGCCGCCAACTACGGTGTTGGTCATCAGTCATAAACCACGACGACCGAACATTGTTCGCGTGACGTCCGGCGTCGGCGTCGTTCCGTTATCTCACGCCTCTATTATGCACGTCGCCGCCACCGGCCCGTCGCAGCCTAGTCAGGGCCAACGCTATTTGTCACAATGCCATGATTACCATGGGAAACACGCCACCATGAAAGGTTGCGCAATCATCTACGTGGCCCAGCATTACCCATAATACAACGCGAAACAGCAATCGCTCCATCTGCATCAGAAAACCAAAAAATCGTTGCATACTTCGACATGCAACCAAATCAGCAACTCCTTGCTTGAAGACGAAAGCTGCATTCATTCTGAAGATAATTGGTCTGCCCATGTTTGATGGCTGTCATAGATACTTACATTTAATCAAATTTATTCCTTGCTCAAACGTTTATGGAAGAAGCAGATTCGTCACATAGATCGACAATCATTTTTGGAGTAATGATAAAACTGAATCCTCTTGTAAGAGTTTACTAGTCGTTTCGCTAATCCCATAAGATCACTCGGTTAATCATCCCTACACAAAAATTTTCAGTCTCTTTCCAGTCTCTCAGAGTTTTTCAGCGTCTCTGAGAGCGTCTCTTACAGTCTCTCAGGTATTGCCTAGGGGTTTTTTATGGATCTCTCACAGTCTTTGTATGAGAGACTCGAACGATAAAATTATTAATTCAGAGATTCGAGTCTCTCACAGAGAGACTGAATAAATAAAACTGGAAAATTGAGAGACTCGAGTCTATCGTAGAAAGACTGGGATCTCTGAAATACGTTGAACTTAAACAATTTTAACCATGTCTATCGAGACACCACTTATTAAGAGATTCGAGTCTCTCGTTCAGAGATTCGAGTCACTCGTTCAGAGAATGGATACAAAATGAGGATCTCTCTATGGGGGACTCGAGTTTCTCGTTGAGAGACGCTAAACATTTTTTTTTGACAGACTCTCGATATTTTCTCTCAGCGACAACAGAGAGACACGGCGAGAGACGGAAACTCGAGTCTCGCTTTCAGAGACTCTGAGAGACTGAACATTTTTATCTCGGGATAATGTTATGTAGATATCTTTGTCTTGTGATTGGAATATTTCCTTGTACTTTCTAACCAGTTTTCCAAATTTCTGTATTTGTCGAGTCGTTGAATCCGAAGGTTTTCTATGTGCAGATTGTGTTATGTGGCATCTAAGGATGTCATTACTTCTTCCGAGTCCTGGTCAGATTATATCCATGAAGAAGAAATAGAAACACAGGAGAGTAATCCTTTCGGGTGGGCATATTATGAGCATTGAGGATCCAGTAATCTAAGTAAGTATCGAGTTCTTCCAATAATTTGCTGCAGGGGATAGGTAGATTTCCGTACAATTTCCGCTAAATCGAGTCCAGGCCCATAAGTGTTCTGTGTTCATGGCTTTTGACTGGCTTGAGTGATTCCTGTAGCGACTGCAAATCGGATACCGTATTTGTAGCTATAGTGTTTTTCCTGCTGGCCCCGAGGGACTAGCTACAGGTGAGGCCACGTGGGTCAAGACTGCAACTGTAAGCGTTCAACTTTACATGGGCCAAAACGCTTTACTTTGTACAAAGGCATAGAAACATTGTTGCGATTTAATGATGTAAAAATATCCGTTACTTTATCCAAATCTCCAAATTGAGTGTTTTAACGCTTATTCCTTGATGAGGCGGAAATTAACTTGCTAACTGGGACATTTTCTATTTTTCCCACCAATGAAATCTTCGATAATGGAACTCAATGTTAGTAGGCTATCTGTGACGTAGATTATAGATATTTGGATAGATAAATTACCTTTCAGCCTAATTTACTGGCAAAAGCTTTGACGTCTCTCTCTGTTGTTTTCGAACTTGAATAATAAGTGACATAAATAAAGTACGACAATGCACAATGCAACGGTAAAGTTTCGTAATTAAAGCTGATTCGAAAAATACTAATTATATGGCGTCCATTAATAGGTACATTAGTCATTGTTTGAGAAAATAACAGGCACCAACAATCACAATCTATGGTAATCGTTTTGTAACTGACTTATCTTTATTACTGCGCTCATGATAAGGAGATATCCATTCCGGTCCAATGTAATTCACTTCAGCTTTCAAAGTTTTTCGATTGATTTAACAAGCAAGATTTATATCTAGAACCGTCATTACTTCGAGTTTATGCCTCCTTGGAAGATTAGAATAATATCTTTTTCGAATAATTTAATTGGTAGATATAGGTAGTTATACCTACCTTGTTAAAAAGAAATTGGACAAGTGAAATAATAGTTTTGCTTTAACGTTCAAAATACTGTACATAGCTACCTAGAAAATCTCAACCCATCACTCGTTTTCGTTTTGTGATATTGATTACATAATCCCTTCATTATTTATTTATTTTAGTGCTTTCCAAAACCTATCTGCGTAATTAGTTTGAGAGAAAAATGCTTCTGATTTAATTTTTAGAATATTGCTACCCATCTATTTTCATCCCCTAATTGGTTAATGTATTCGAACTCTTTTAAATGCCCTTTTTTGTCAGTTTTCTCGTTCGCACCACCCGTTCAGCAACTTTCAAGCTAAGCGGGACGCCTCTCTGGAGCTGTCAAATGATGCGCTACATTGCTACAAGACACTGACGCATCTTCAAATAGAAAATTTGCGCCTGCGTCATCTTCCTAAGGCCGTGATTCGTCAATACACAAGGCGCGTGTGGGATGAGTACAGATAGTGGCGCATCGTCTACACGCCCCCATATTTGTAATAAAATGGCGTACTATCTCTACGTCTTCATTATGGGATCATTGGATTTACAGATTCAAAGAGCAATCCGGATAGTAAACATTTTCTTATCACACACAATATGTCGTTTGAGTTAGAACAGTGTGGGAAATTCTCCAGTAGGTAAAGGTAATCGACTTTTTAAGGCTTCGATTGAGTATCTGTCCATTTAGTTGTAATGTCCATCATTTGGGCAGAATACACTATCTAAATCGTTATCATATGGTGCAGATACTATACATGTCTTTAAAGTCATAAAAGTAACCTCTATTATTCATGATCTGATTGAAAGTAACTACATCCATTATTATCGTCCACTGCTAATGGATGACTTTGTAATGTAATCTAATTATCCACGTTCATGCCCCATAATGGTAACGCGATTGCTTATAGAAATGTTTCGAAATTAAAGATGAGCTTTTAGATTAGCTGCCGCTGCTCCTGTAAATACATGACGA